ATCTCCAAAAAGTGGCTTTTTCGTTGGAGCCTGGATTGAGTGATAAATCACGCGAGCCGAGGCTCGCTGCCTGACGCAGGAAAAGCAAACCCGCCCGGCCAACTCAGAACAATGCAAGTAGTGTTGCCGCTAGGGTTCAACCCCCAATAAAAGAAAGGCAAAGACCCAATTTGATGAGCATTGTTAGGTAAACAATGGTGGTTACGTTACTGAACCCCGGGGATGTGTCTTCTTTAATGCGGCCTCAGTCGCAACAGGGGTCTGGATTGTGGTCTGGGGTCTCGGTTTCACGCGGGTGCGTGGCCAAGTCCAACTTCGTGCTTGCGCCCCAAAACTGTCGCAGCCCCTGGGCTCTTTCGCGCGGCTCTTCTGGTAATGGCCTGCGCTGGTGAATCCTCCACTGATTAGGCCGTAGGCCCCCCTTCTTAGTTTTTTCCAGACGAAACTGCAAAAGGATCCAGACGTATCCACTTGGTTTGGCTTTTGGATTTCAAGCTTTGGTGTTTGTGGGTAGATGCAGACTTTCCCCGCCATTTCACCGAGCCAAACCGAGGGCTTGGATCCCCCTGAGCGGCGCGGTGGTGGTGCTCGATGCGCGGGGCCTTGGTTCCCGTGGTCCTTGAATTGAGCAAACTCTGGATGTTCAGCCTATTCAGCACAGGTACAGCATGTTACCATGACTATATCTCAACCGCCCCTTGTCCCACTCTGGCAAATCAGCAGCGCCAAAGCCCTTATGAAAGGAGTTAATTGAGGGCCTCTCCTAATGAAGCCTCGCAAAAGCTAAAACGCAGGCGCGAAGGCTTGCGGCGAAAGTGGTTGAAGAAGAGCCCGCCGCGAAAGCGTCGCGAAAGTGCATGTTTGAAGTTTCTGTGCTGCCCGCGAAAGCTCCGCAAAGGTGATCAATACAAAACACATGCCCACAACAGTGAAACGTGTGGCCGCGAAAGCATCGCGAAAGGTTCCGCGAAAGTGGTTTGTTAGTAGAGGGTTTATGTACCCTATTTTCGGCACTGCTCAAATGGATTGTTTGTTTCGAGTTTCCTGGGTAAGAAACATTGGATGTTCCCCTTAAGTAGCTTCAACCCTGGTTATAACTGGGATTAACCCCAGTACCCTTTTTGATAGGGTTTTTTCAAGGCAAAGCCAAAAAGAACTCACCATTTGGAAGTATCCCAGGGTGGAGCATCGCCAGACCCTCGTTTTGAAGAACTGGTCAAGTGTGCTATGCTGAAAAGACCTTCTTTCCTTGGGGACCATGTCAATTGCACAGCTCTTTGTTGATTGCGCTTGTTTCACTCCCCCGAACCAAGGCTGCGCGTTCAACGCTCGAAGCAATCCACCCAGAGAGAGAGAGAGGTAACCGTGACCATGACCCACAGATTTGGAGTTTGTCCCATATCTCAAGTGGATATGTCGTTTTCCAGCGACCCCCGAATTACTGGTTTTCCTTTTGGCTTCCCTGTAAAACTAACCAAGAGAGGATTCCCGCCAACAAAGAAGGAGACCCAAGTGAAGCAAAGTAGCTTAACGAAAAGAGCAAGAGAGGCCCTATAAATCATCCCCCATGGTTTCCTTTAAGGGAATCCCCTTCCGGAACCAGGAGACGGTTCCCCCAACAACAAAGCGGACCGAAGCAGCGAAGCTCCAAGCGAAGCATGAGGCGGAGAAGGACGGGGGCGAGAAGGTGGACGGCAGCAAGTCCCGGCCCAGCGGCAGCAGCGGCACCGGCAGCGTGCTGTTGGTGGAGGAAGTGGCCGGGGGGAGGGGGTGGGGGGGGGGTTTGGGGGGATCCACGTTTTTTGTTTCAGTATTTCCGGTTGTTGTTTTTTTGGGGGAGGAACCACCTTCAAGTGTTGTTTTGCTTTGGCAATTTTAGTTGTTTTGTTGGTTTGGGGGGGTTCACCACATTTGTTTGTTGCTCCCCGCCATAGATTGATGACCCCCTTTGATTGAGCCTTGTGCAAAAACTGGGGAAGGGGGCGGAACCAGTCTTGCGAGCATGCCTTGGACAGACCCTGCTTGGAAAACTCACAGCGATAGCACAAAAGGGATTTGTGAGCAAAGCCCATGAAAGTCGTTATCTTGGCTCATTTCCCTTCTTGTAGGTTGGCATGTCGTCAAAATATTTCGGAAAACTTGGAAAGTGTTTCTTGGTTCAGCGGCAGCGCACGCCTGTTTCGACCCAGTGACCCTCCCGAGCAAAGGCCGGGATGGCACCCTGTTGGCCGTATCTTTTGCTGAGGGTTTTTCCTTGGTTGCTGTATGGTTACCAATGATTGCACGAGGGTTTCTGCAAGTCCATGCCACATTTCTGCCAGACGACTTTGGAGCCAGACATTGACCGTTTGTCCGAAGCAAAGCGACCGACCTATTTCCCGCATGCAAGTTGTTTGTTCTGAGCAGGCGTCTTTTGCGATCCTGCCATGCGTCTTTTGAAACGGGACTAAACAGAATCGCTTTCAGGAGCTCAGTTTGAGCAGGTTTGAGGATGAGGAGAAATGAAAGCCAAAGAGACACCCAGGCAATTTAGTTTGATAGTCGTGCTGTTTCGGCTGGGTTGGGAGGAGACACGTCAATCACTACGGATGCGTGCAGCACTGTGCAACCAATGCTCCTGTGACGTGCACCACAAGTTTAAGTGGAGAGTGTCACTTTTTCGGGACTGTTCCTTGGGCTGCACGTCAAGCCTGTGGTGTTTGTTCAAGCGCACAGAGTCCAGGGCAATGGGACGAACACGGGTCTCAACATCTGCTCTGTGGGACCTTGAACCTGTGGCTGGGAAGCGAGAAGGTGTGTTCCCAAAGATGTGTGGTTTCCCCATCAACCAGCAACCACACTTCGCGTGGTCAGGGGCCCCGAAAGAGGGGACCCCCCTGCCATGGATAGAGTTTAGTTTGCAGCCTGGAACCCTAAAATCAATACCCTAAATGAAGCTTGCAAAATAGACCCTAAGTGTCCATCATACGGACCCCCCCCCAAACCAAGGAACCCTACTAGCCCCTAAGCCTAGGCCTTCGTGGCTCTTAGCTCCTATTGGGATTGGGGGCCCCGACACTGGGGGCCCTTGACAACTTTGGCACCCAGGAGTGGCTCAGTGGACGTTTTGGGACGGAAAGTAGTCTGAGGAGCCCTCTTGTCAGCTTCCTTGATTGTTGGAGTGAGTGGAGCCGCATTGGGTTTTTTATAAAACACATGTTTATATATGCTCTCTTTTTTAAACTATATGTATGTATATGTATATAAGCATCCCGATGCATTGTATACTTAAACAACACACATACAGTGTTTTTTGTAAATATCAGACAAAACTCGCACAAACACCGCAGGATTTGCTGTGCAGTGAAGAGCTGATGCCTGGAGATGTGATCATTTCTGCAGGCGCTTTTTCTTTCAGAACCACTGCGGGGGGGGGGGGGGGGAGACTTACACAAATTTCAAAATCTAGGGCGTTCTAGGGGTTGATTCCCTATCCTTTTCACCCATTATCTTTAAAAACCACCAATGCCCTCAGGGGGTTGGCCTGCTTTTTTGAAGAGAAGGATCTCTGAAGAGAATGGAGAATGTACATCTAGACAGCGTTGGCTTTCCTTTGGTTTTCCTTTAAACCAAGGTGAAAGGGCGCCATTAAAGAACACACACACACAAAAGAGTAGGAGTTGCCCCCCCGTCAGCTGGTTAGTTTCTTTTTGTTTTTTTCAAAGCGCCGAAGGGCCGCCGACCAGGTTTGGCCACACCTAAATCTTACCCAGTCTTCCAAGCGATTTCTATCCGGGCCCAAAGTCAGCTTGATGGTCCCCAGTCGCTAGTTTCATTGCGAAGAGTTGGCCCCGATTTGGATAGGTGGCGCATCTAGCCGCTGGCAGTGGCTACGTTTGGATTGAAGAGCCCTTGCCTGAAAGCTGAAAGGTTGCTTCCGGAACGGGGGTTAACGGCCTGATGGAGGTTCCTTTTGGCTGCTTTCATTTGGACCAGTTCAACAGGCTGCCTTCCCAGATCAACTTGCAGTCCATTCCCCCAGCTGAGCTTCAAATGTGTTGGATCACGCAGCTAATCTTGAAAGCCCAACATGTTTGGGTCAGGTTTGAAGCTTCAGACCCGAGCGCGCTCCGCTCTGGCAGGGCCAAGCAGCCTGCATCACGTCGGAGAATTCGAGAAGGCGCCTGGGAAAATGGGGTGCTTCCCTCCCTACCACTTTGGTGGTAACTTTGACGATGGTCAAATAATGGGCCAATGTTTAGCTGGCTGTAGAACCAGATCTGAAGTCATCACAAATCTTGGTTGGCATCGATGTTTTTTAGTGAGCAGTTTTTTCCGGATGTTCTTTTGTGGGCTGCTTTAAGCACGGAGTTTGAGGTGTGTTGTTGTTTGTACCCAACTGTTTGGGGAAGGAGCTGCTGGCTGCTTTTGGGTGCGCAGCATCATGACTTCCTCACTCTGACAACCAGCAAATGCTCTCTGAAGGCCCGACTACAAGAGAAAAACAACATACAAATAACCGCAATCACCGAACAGCTTCTCCAACATCTTATGCATAGCAACCAGCATCTACAATACAGCCAACCAGAACCTGCACATTCCCCTGTACTCCTGCATCATTTTGGGTTTCCCTGACCTCAACGCAGTAGCTGGTCCAAGTCCACAGCAAACGAATCGGATCTTAACGTGGAATCCATTTGGGCGTGGCCTGCTTAGAGGATACGCACACTTTTTTCATGTTTGTCGAGTTGTGCTCATCCCTGCCACTAACATGGCACCGGACAGGGGGGTTGCTTTGAGAGGAAACTGACCTTCCAGTTCACCCCTCGTGGAGGTCGTCTGTGTTTTCAGGAACAAGACAAAGACCAGCTACAGGCTCTGGTTACATGTACGTTGCCTTGTGAAATCACCCCTACAAAGGCAGCAACAAGCACCAGGCGGCCGACATCAAGTGGCCCCTTCAGGCTCGTGGGCAAAAGCAAGCAAGCCAACGGTGAGAAATCACCGATGATCCAAGGTTGATGCAGAAACTCCTGGGTAGTGCCCGTACTTTCCACGTCACGCGCCGCATTACTTTTCGGCCCCGGGACCAAGCCATCCATCGATTTAGCTGCAGCGCGGTGCCCGACTCAGAGGGTGAAGGGATGTGAAGAGAATCTGGAATTGGGGCTGGCCTCAAACAAAACAGACGTTGTGCGCCTAAATCCATGGCTTGTGACTTTTCGGATCGGTCTTTCGAGTTTGTTTCTGTGGGATTCTCTGGTTGCAATGTGCTCAGAGCCACTCTCAGGCTACCTCTTTTTTCAGATCTCATTTAAAGTCCTTCGAAGTGGACTCTGTGAATCAGTGCAGAGCTACGATGCAGACTTTGATCGCCTGGCTACCATTGTTACCAGTGGCAGCGTGCAGGAGCCAAGGACAGTTTCTTAAGACAAGGGGTCCCCTAGTTTCGGTTTTCCTTTGGACACTGTACCAACTACCAGTAGAGCCGGCCAAGCCGGTGGGCGGAAGTTCAAACATAAGAACTATAGTTATCTGTATCTTTCTTGCTTTGATTATTGTTCTCTTTGTTTTCCTTTTCACTGTTTCTCTGTTTGTTTGTCATTATTTCTTTATTTCTTTCTGTCCTGCCTTCCTCCTTTCTTTCTTTCTTTCTTTCTTTCTTTATGACTGTCTTTCTTTCTTTCTTTCTTTCTTCCTTTCTTCCTTTCTTCCTTTCTTCCTTTCTTCCTTTCTTCCTTTCTTCCTTTCTTCCTTTCTTCCTATCTTCCTTTCTTCCTTTCTTCCTGTCTTTCTTCCTTTCTTCCTTTCTTCCCTAAGTATCTATCTATCTATCTATCTATCTATCTATCTATCTATCTATCTGTCTATCTAATCTATCTATCTATCTATCTATCTAATCTATCTATCTATCTATCTATCTATCTATCTATCTATCTATCTATCTATCTATCTATCTATCTATCTATCTATCTATCTATCTATCTATCTATCTATCTATCTATCTATCTATCTATCTATCTCTATCTATCTATCTATCTATCTATCTATCTATCTATCTATCTATCTATCTATCTATCTATCTATCTATCTATCTATCTATCTATCTATCTATCTATCTATCTATCTATCTATCTATCTATCTATCTATCTATCTATCTATCTATCTATCTATCTATCTATCTATCTATCTATCTATCTATCTATCTATCTATCTATCTATCTATCTATCTATCTATCTATCTATCTATCTATCTATCTATCTATCTATCTATCTATCTATCTATCTATCTATCTATCTATCTATCTATCTATCTATCTATCTATCTATCTATCTATCTATCTATCTATCTATCTATCTATCTATCTATCTATCTATCTATCTATCTATCTATCTATCTATCTATCTATCTATCTATCTATCTATCTATCTATCTATCTATCTATCTATCTATCTATCTATCTATCTATCTATCTATCTATCTATCTATCTATCTATCTATCTATCTATCTATCTATCTATCTATCTATCTATCTATCTATCTATCTATCTATCTATCTATCTATCTATCTATCTATCTATCTATCTATCTATCTATCTATCTATCTATCTATCTATCTATCTATCTATCTATCTATCTATCTATCTATCTATCTATCTATCTATCTATCTATCTATCTATCTATCTATCTATCTATCTATCTATCTATCTATCTATCTATCTATCTATCTATCTATCTATCTATCTATCTATCTATCTATCTATCTATCTATCTATCTATCTATCTATCTATCTATATCTATCTATCTATCTATCTATCTATCTATCTATCTATCTATCTATCTCTATCTATCTTTCTTTCTATCTATCTATCTATCTATCTATCTATCTGTCTGTCTAATATCTCTGTCTCTATCTATCTAACCTACCTACCTATCTCTCTCTCTCTCTCTTTATCTGTCTATCTATCTAGCTATCTATCTGATCTATTTGATCTATTTATCTATCTACCTATCTATGTGTGTATCCATCTATCCATCTATCTCTCTCTCTCTCTCTTTCTCATTTTTTGCTATCAGCCCAGACCATCTATGCGAACCAAAACACAAGACACCCATGAGCGCCCATCCACTCTCTCCAGGAACAAGTCCCAAGCCCATCAAAATTGAAATGCTACAGCCAGCCCCATGTGGAACACGCCAGCATCCGCCCTTTTTCTACATACGGCTTGCTCGTGAACACATGAGGCCCGCGCGGCCTGAGCCGGCACGTGCGGAGGCAGCACGAACTGCGCGCGTGGCCGCGTGGCCTGAGCCGGCACGGGCGGGCTTCGCCTCGCTCATGAGAACGGCGACCCGCGCCTTGCTCAGCATGATCCACTCACTGTCGGCTTGTCACGACGCCACGCTCATTCAAATTCTCGCACTGCTGTTGAAGTTGCCGCGCCGGGAAACCGTCCGCCGCCAAGGCATCTCAGCAAGTCTCGCTGATACCGGTGCGCTCGTACTCCCGTTGGCCAGAAGTGGAGCGCCACAAGTTGCCTTCCTGAGCGCGCGTGCAGGCCAGGCAGGCTCGGCTCGCCAGGCGGTCATCCACACCCAGGTTAGCTCGGTGCAAGGCCTTCAGCTGATCCAGCTGCGAGCCCTCGAAGCGGCGAAGCTTGTCAACCATCGCTAGATGCGAGGCCGTCTGAGCCGCCAAGCCCCCCTCGTGTCCTAAACCTACTCAGCTGCTGTTTTGCGTGAGAGTGATGGTGTGTGTGTGTGTGTGTGCACTTGACTTTGCGAAAGTACTGCGCCTGCCACGCAACTCAATCCTTGCGAAACCTTCGCGTTGCCGTGCCAATGGGCCCGCGCTCTCCGAACGTGGTCCGAACGTGGTCCGAACGTGGTCCGCGAACAGGCTGGCTTTCCGCTCTCCGAAGACGCAAATTCACGCACAGGGCCATGCTTTTTGCGCACTTCTAGTCTCCCACCACGCGCGCGCATTTTTTCTCGCGCGCTTATTCCTTCTCTTGTCATCTGTCCTTAAATAGCTAGAATTCAGTTAGTTGCCGTAACACGGAAGTTTTTCTTGTCTAGCGCATGGAGCAACCACAGACTCAGAGTAGAAGGAGCTAAGCTAGCTCAGGCAGATTGGCGGGCCTGTCAGAACTACTGGATATCCCTTGAGGATTGTTGTGTCATGATGCCTCAAACAGGATCAATCCATGGACAGTTTGCTGAACACTTGGATTGGGTCGGAGTGAGTGGCAAATACTGTATGAATTTATGCGTATTTGGTTGGATTTTTAGGCTTGCGCGGATGTTCCAGGACCCGATTGGACCTGCAAAATTAAATTTGCAGAGGGGTCACAACAGCAACCGAGAATGGAGGCAAACCAGCGGAAGAAGGGGGATGTCGCTGTTCGGTCATGTGATGGATGAGGATTTACAAGGCCAAAGTGTACATGGGCGTCGCTAAAAAAGACACGTATTCAGCTTAGTATTCCAAGTTTCCGGGCCAATATAGTATGAGCTTCCCACTGCGCGGAACGGGAGAGGGGGTTGGCTGGACAAACACGTCTTCCGCGCGCCTTCCGTGCGACTTCCGTGCCTTTCCTTGCGTCTTTTCTTGCTGCGCGCGTTGTCCCTGGGCCACACACACACACACCTGGCGATGTTTTGAGCAATCCTCCAACAGCCTTTACGCAATTCTCAAATCGACGATGATCAATATATGCCAAACATCCTTCGCTGGAGTGATGCTCCCATTCCTGTGTTGCTATAGAGATTTGCTGGGTGTGTGGCCGTTCCCCAAGGCAACCAGACATCACTACAAGTTTGACCGCACTTTGCCTGCTGTAGGTAAATGAGCCCTTAAGGCACATCATTTATGGAAACAACGAGCTCACCTTTGTAAAGATCCTTTATTTGGGCTTCAGGTTTTGCCCATGTTGTAAAATGACGGAAAGCGACCTTTCGGTTAATAGGATTTGGGGTCAAACTGGGGGAAATGCGGAGTAGAATTTGCAGAGCTGATGCCGAGCTGATGCTGGGGATGCTGGAGATGCATTCATGCAATGAAGGCAAAGTTTTCGCGCGCCATGTTGTTTTTTTGAGGTCCGATTCTAGCAGTTTTCGAGCCGCGAGCGCCTGTCGCAGATGATGCAGAGGAAGCTGGAGATGCTGGCTGGCTGGGGATGCTGGGGGTGCTGGGAGATGCTGGCTGGTGATCCCAAGAAGCCCCTGCTTTCCGGTTTTTATTTTCCCCGTTCTGGTTTGCGGATTATGTATAAATGGTGTATGTCCAGTAGCTCACTTGTGGTTGGCTTCGCCTTCCAAGGCCCTTCGGCCTTGCTTTGCAATGCGCGGGACGCGCAGCCGGAGCTGCCTTTTGGTAGCGGTACTGGCGCCCGTGGCGGCGCTGTGGCACTTGTGGGCGCCAGAGGCTGTGATGTTAACCACCGTTCTTGGCGATTTGGGGCTTGAAGCAAACTACCCTCACTTCCCGAGTTCATGGAGTTTATATTTTCGGGAAAGACCAGTTTCTAGTGGTAAACAAAAGCTTTGGATCCCTGTTTTTTGGGCCATTCGCTCAGGAGGTGAAGGGAACCACTATTTGAAACGACAGTCATAGTTCATAGCGCTCCAGACGAAGCTTTATGGCTATTTAGCACGGATCTTTGGACTGCAAGTTTCTCGAATTTTCCGAACTGGACCCACAAAAAGTGATTCGCTCTTTGCAGAGGAGTCAACAGCAGCAACCAAGCCTTCGCCGTTGGCAGGTTTTGGGGGAGAACAAAAGATCCTAAATACATGGGATGACGATTGGTTGGAAAACCACCAACCAGAAGATATTTCCCACTAAATGGGAACAGGTACCCATGGTCATTTTGGGCCAGGAATATTGATCAACCGCCTTGTCGGAACGAGTTTCTTGCATCCGCCAATCCTCACGTCCTTTTTTTCTGTGCAACTTGGGGCTTCGCAGCAAGTCGACCAACCTGCCCATGCCATGGACACGAGATGATTTTAGCGCTTATTTTTCAGTTTTAACCCAGTAGAAACAACAGCTCAAAGCGATTCGACCTATCACCTTTGGTTTCCCTGGTGTGTCCCATATTTAGTCAAGGTTTCGAAGGGTTAACCTTTCATTTCCAGCTCCTTTGGGCAAGTGAGAATCCTAAAGAGAGTGCACTCCCGAAGCGATGACTCAGAGCCATGAATCAGTATTGGACCTAGCCCCCCCGATGCTCTGCCGGGACGCTACCGATTTATTTCTGGCCCCTCAAACCGGCAGGTTTTGAGGCCCCAAAACCCCTCTGGGGTGTCCAATGGAGGGTCTCTTCCACTGGAAGCCCCAGAGTATTAAACCATCCCACCAAGTGATAGAAGGGTGTCGCCCATGAAGTGAAGGATTCCCACAAGGAGGCCCCCCCATGAATCAACCAGGAGTGCTTTTTGAAGCATGGAATATGCGGGTTCACAGTAGTATGTGTGTTACAACCGGTTAGCAAGTGAGACAGGGATTGGTTGAACTATGGTAAGAACCCGCTTATCCATACCAGAGGTTACTTTCCCGCTCTTGGTATGGTAGCAAAACAAAGCCTTTTTTGCAGCCCACTAAAATGGAACAGAAAACGAGAACTTGACTGAAAACCAGGGCTCCCTCAGGTGCATGCTGCCTGGCAAGCGAGGAAGCTTTGGCTGGCTCTAGGGTGACGGCTTTCGTTCAGCAGATACAGACAACACATATGGCTTGGCGTTGCTAGTCCTTTTGAGGTAGCCTTAGGCCATTGTTCTGTGTTCATGCAGTAATTTGGCCAACGGCTCGTTGCATCGTAAAACCTGCTTTCCATGGCGCTAAAAAAAAAGCAAGAGAAAAGCACGGTGGACGAAGCAAACGCAGAATCAGAAGTCGGAGTGGGGTCGCCAGGGCTCGCCTCTTGCCTTCACCAAGAAGGCCAAAGTGGTGGACGAAGATCCAGTGGCCCGCACCAAGCGACTGCTGACAGAGGCGGACGCCGTGTTCTTTGACGTGGATAGCAGCTGGGATCGACACCAGTCAACCGGTCAGCTTCCAGCCCACCCCTTGAAGTTTTGTGTGATTGTCTTGGTTAATTTTTGTTGGGCCAATGTCCGGGCCCTGAAATTGAGATGGACCCCATCGCTTGAAGCTGTCAGACTTATTGCACGTCTCCCGTGTCCTGGCCTCAGCAGAAGCTTTCTTTGAAGGCGACAGCGGTTTTGGCAACCAAGTCTACCTTCTGGACGCGTTGAGGTCGTAGAGGATAAAATAGTACCTTTTGGGTGAGAAACAGAACAGGCCATACAGGGTTTTGTTTCCTCTCGCCATAAGCTATTTGCTTGTTTTGAAAGCCTTCCTAGCGCCTCTTGGGAGCTTTTTGCCTCGACTTTTCTTCAGGTTGTCGTACAGTGCACGGTTTGTAGCAACCAAGCTGTTCAGGAAGACCCATAGGCAAACATGATCCGCGCGGGCATAAGGCTTGTGTTTTAGCACGCGATGCCCTTTCCTTCTTTGTGGATCCATTGGAATGCAAGAGTGACATGGGACGCGACTGTCGAGCGGTGTCATACTGGAATGCTTCGAAAAGCAAACGTCGGAGGTCGCAAACCCACTTCGCAGCATACATGTGTTTGCCGGGATGTCCTTCTGCAACAAGGCGATGTGGTTTTCATGCTTCGCTCAGCTTCGTTTAATTTGGTTTCAGGGTCTTCTGCTCCAGGTTAATGAAAAAGGCTTCACATTCAGCTGCCGCCAGATTTCATGTTGGGATCTTGCGAATAGGTTTGTCCCTAAGTTCGGAATCCCTACAAAAGACCCGTTTTTTTTTTGGGTGGTTACGCCACTTCGAGCCCTTGAATCCCGGTTCTTGGATCCCCTGAGCTACTTTCCTGCTCGAGGAAGAGTTCTTGACACAAGAATCACACCCATCAAGGAGCGGTGGGGCCGCAAACGGGGGTACTCGGTGGGGCGAACCAAAGGGGCTCATAGGTACCTCCCGCCTGTCAGGAATACTTAGTTGGTCCGGGAGGAATTGCTAAAAGCCGAGCTTTGCGCTGTGACTTAGTTGGGTGTGGGTCAAAATTAAACGCACCAGGAATTGGACCCCGGGTTTTAATCCTGGGTTCCATTTACCAGGGTTCCATTTTGGGTACCCATTTTTGACCCACAGCCACTCATGGCCCGTAGCCAGGCTGACTCGCCTTTTTCCGAGGCACCGTGGTCACCACTGAGGGCATCGACCTCATAGGCAAATGCTTCGGCATTATGCGGCGCGGTCCGGAAAGTCGGGGAACGTCGCGGCGCCGTCTGAGAGAATCTGCGGGAATCGCATTTGATCTATGTACTTATAATAGATATATACATATATATGTTTATATGTATATGCGTAGATGTATGTGTGTGTGTGTACACATAGCATACATCTATACGTGTATAAACAGCATACGGATGCCTAGGTATGTATGCATTATACACATGCATTTTACATATATATATATATATACATGTAGGTATATCTCCATGCACGCAATGTGTAACCACATGTACCTTTGGATTACATATACACATGCTACCTACATGGATTGTGTGGGCACATAATATAATCCCGTTGGTGATTCTTGATATTGTGATGGGGATGGCCCAGTTCGCAATTGTGCGGTGAGAAACTGGTTTAGCCCGCGATGAAATGGGATTCGTAACTAGCGGAAATGATGATCATGAATCTACAAGGCCTGCTTCTTTTCAGTGCCCTCAATTCATTTAGTGGGTGCTATGAACCATTTTGACAATAAGGTCACTTAGTCCTAAATCAAAGAGGGCACTAAGCATGTGCTGGGGATTATGTTTCCCCGATTGATGAATAGAGGGACAGTTGCCCTCAGGGCATTTGGATCACGTTGGGGTGCAGGCCCTGGAGGTCAGTATGGGGCCCGAAGAGAACCCGAAGCAACAGGATTTGTAGGGAACCAATTGCATCTCTGGACAGGTGACTGTGACACTTCAGGAATCTTTGAATATGTGGGTGCCAAGTGTAATACCCCACAACTGCTCTTTTTCACAAGAGAAATCCAAGGTTTTTGTTTGTTTTTGTTTTGAAAACCACAGGCTATAAATCCAAGGCTTTCTCAAGCATATTGGCTGGAGATGTCATATGGTCGATGCTCGGGATACTGGGCTTGTTTTGTGAATCACAACAGGTTTCGCCAAGGAAAGCGGGTCCTGTAGATCTTGTAGATCTACGGTGGAGTTCGTTGAGTGTCGCTTGATCTGTTACGACGGAGGAGTTTTGCGCTTACACAAAGGGGGAAGGGAGGCTTTCAGTTGGTTCAGGTGGACGCTCCGAAAGAAATGGCTCGTTGTACGCTGGACAAAATAGCGTGGAGCCTTTAATGGCTGCGGCTTGAACAAATCATGTTGCAGGACCGGTGTTTTTTTGGAGGGTATTTCTCCTCTTCATTAGTGCAATATGGTTGGGGATGGCTGTGGAATTCTGGAACAACACTTTGTGCAGTTCCATGTTGTAGGTGTGCGGCGAGAACAAGTGGTGGATCTGACACGGTTCGTGGCGTCCGCAATCATTATGTTGCGTCACTTGCACTCCACAAGTTCTGGAACAGTTCCACGTGTTTTTTTGCGGCCCGTACAATTTACAACCAACGAGATAAACGACGAGAGCTGGCTTTGGGCGCCCCTCCCGAGACTTGAGGAAAGAGATTTCGGAGCTGACACACAAGGCCATGAACGGTCACGTGAAGTTCCAGGAGTGCCATCCGCCCCCATTCCCGACATGCCCGCGCTTGGATGTGCGCACGCACCCCACCCACCCACCCGCCTCCCACGCACATGAAGGAAACAGGCCTGTCAGATTTTGGCAAACATGCATCACGATGCCACAAAGCTCTTTCCGAGGGTCACCAGAGCAGGCCGGAGCAGGCTATCTGTTGAAACTCCTGGCCGGGAAGCCTTAGTGCTTGGTGAACTGGTAAATGTCAAACTTACAGCTATGTTTCTACTCAGGCATTCTGATTATCTTGCCATGTACAGCCGTTTAGAACCCCTTATCCGGGGTTTCTTAGGTTCCGCTCAATTGGCTATGTGACCTCGGCATGCTAATTTTCAAGAAGTGGAGCTTTAGGAAGGCCAGCCAATCCCTCGGAAAGTGTTCATGCAAGGTCTTTGTGCTCAAGCCGAACGTGGCAGGAGGAAACAACAACAAAATCCCTGTGCTCCGTCAAGAATTACCTCTTTCGTGGAGTTTGGCTTTTCATTGTGACTGCAAGACGGTCCAAGATAACAGATGTCCAGCCTTTGCCTACAAGTCTTTTTCAAAGTTCAGAAGCATGGTTTAGACTGAGCAAAGGTGGGCATCAAGTAAGCACGCAGCATGATATTTTCCACATGTACTCGACCAAGCAGTTTCGTCCCAGAAGGCTATCAGTCACGAACTTCGAGGGTCGCAAGATACTCCACACAGTCCATTGGAAATTGTATTTATGACTCAGGAATGCTCCCTTATTTGAATGCAAACTGGGAGTGACTCGGAGTCCCTAAAAATACTGCAAGGGAACCTATCACATAAAAAGTGGGTTGTTTTTTTAACTTGCTCCCCACTAGCGTTCATATCTATAGTTGGCAACCGTGGCTCATTCGTTCTTTGCAGATCATGGAACCTTAGAAAGCTGATATGTTAAGCGGATGTTGCCTTTGGGGGCCCCAAAACACCTGCATTTCTGTGTGGCTCAAAATTGAAGAGCTAGGGCAAACCGCAGGTTTTAGTCTTTTGGTTTCACGTACCAAGGTGCCATCTTAGTACATGTTTTTGAGCCACAGCCAGTTGCCACTGGCCAGCCCAGCGCCGTCCAAAAAACCCGCCAGAGGACGCCATGGCGGAACGCTTGCAGCTCATGGCAGACCATGGCATGGACAAAGAGAAGCTGGAGCAGTGCGTGAAGACGGAAGGCGGGCTTGAAGCCACGGTCATGTATTTGCATATATATATATATTATTTGTATGCTATCCCCCAAAATGCCGTGTTTGTTTTTTTTTGGGGGGAGGGGCTACCATATGTAAATATGTATATATATATATACATATTCCGAGAGAGAACTAACAAGAAACATCATCGGGCGAAGCTCTGGTCTGACCGGTGGATCGACAAGAACGAGAGCAAAGCAAGGACTTAGATGGTTTGGAGACTATTGGAGTGTCCGCGCAGAACGGTGGAAGGTGATACCTTTGTTTTGTGCTGGGTTGGATGGATTGGCGGTAGCTGGATTGGTAGTCAGGCAGATTCTCGAAATGGGATCTGCGTGGATGAAGTGCAGGGCGAAGACAGAGGGCAAGTCTGCACGAAAGAGAAACTAAAACCATGGGCACTTAAGGCTGGCTATGGAGGCCGCATACGGTCGAGCAGGAGCTTGCAAAAGAGTACTGCTGCCACCTGCCAAGGGCAGTTATTTTCCTTGATTCTGGTAGAGGGTGCGCGGTGCTTGTCCGTCTGATTTCAAAGGGCGTATACACATAGCCAGAAGCTCAGATATTTCTGTCCTGGTTGTGCTTTCGTAGAACAACAAATTGGCCAGTTTTGTGGAGGGCATATGATCTTCGTTGATGCATCGAGTAGTGTGTTTGCATTGGGATGCATTCTGCAACTAGATGGTGCGGCGACTCTCAACATATTAATACGACTCGGAATTTGTGAGTCGAGTAGCCACATGTCGCACACCAAATCAGTGCACCATCACCCTGTTTGATCAAGCACATGGACAAAACAAGGACGCGGAAAGACAAAGGTCGCATCCTTGTGTCAAAATTGGCAAATCCACCAGTTGGGATGGACGAAGCCTTGTGAATACTGGATAAACCACTTACCTACTTGTGCGAAGTGGACAAGGCAAACAGTGCGGGATTCTCGCACTGTCGCCCTTTGGGCGGCCTCACAAGAATAGGGAAGAAAGCTACCGATACTTCTAGCACAAAGTGCCATCATGACATGGTGCTTCTTTCCTTTGTTTTCAAAGCAATCAAGAGGGGCTCCGCATCTTTACATACCGGCAAGCTTTACGTCGTGGTTGTTGTTGATTTGGGTATTCCAAGGTCCAGTTCTTCTAACCACATGGGAAGGCCCAAAAAGCCTCTAAACCATTTGGGTATTGTATGTGTCAAACCGGGAAGCCAAGAATTTGGCGATTTTCCTTTTGGCTTTCCTTGAAAAAGCCAAGCTAAAGGCTCCCAAGCAGAAACCCGGCTAGGCACTCCCCAGTGGACGCCCGGTATCAAGGAGGTGGTGCAGATGCTTCACAAGCAAGGAACCGACGTTTGGTGCTCAGTGGTGAAAATGGGGGCCCCCGTGGTACAAGGATGAAGGATTGATTTGGAGACAGGCTCCAAAGGAGCCTGATGGGAGATAGGTCCAAGTGGACCCCACCTGATTAGCTACGGTTTTTTTCCGGTTTGAGGGGGCACTTTCTGTAGGGAATCCCCCATGCAAGCCACTGAGGCCAACTTTGGGGCACTCATCATATGTTCGCTTCCCGAGTTGGTCCTTATACTGTTCGGGAAGACCATTTTCGTGGCCAGCAACAAGTTTGGTCTTTGGTTTGGGCCAATCCACGTATTCAGTATGTTTCTCCACGCGAAATTGACGAGTTCCATGGGTATCGGAACCTTGTATGTGGCAGGGATGGCACGGTAACTACACTTTTGATGAGTTCTGCGTGGTCAATGGGGCGTGGCACCTTGAGTCACGCAAAATGTGTGTTTTGCGTAATTATTATATTCTTATTGTGTGTCTGGTGTTTGCTGATGGATGCTGATAGCAGTTCCTTGACACTTGTGGTGTTGTAGAGTTGTAAATGGCTGTTGGTCAAGCTGGACAAAGCAGCTGACAAGCCTGCTACCAGAAGAACCACAGTAGCCGTTTGGAATCAAACATGTCAAGCGCCGCTGCACTTGTTCCGTGTCAGCGGATTCCTGAACAAACACCAATTTGGGGCACTTGGACATTATTTCGGAGACCACTTTTGAGGTATGCACCAATTCGTCAGAGGTATACTATTGGAAGGAAGGGCCGCAAAGGCTGCAATGACTGGGTTTCAACGAACCGCCCAGATCACTCATAGCCAGATGCAACCACAGCCAGCGAATGCCATGACTCCACCGTACACGACAGATAGTCAGCCAGCCATGGTGCCATATAGGACACAGATTGCATGGACACGGGGAGCTGGCGGCCAGGTTTGCCATGTCTGCAAAATGAGAAGGCAGCAAAATGACTGACGTATTGGTTGTTGGTTTCTGCGGATCCCTGATTTCTGGTCGGTGAAGAAGTGCAGACCTGTCTCCCAGGCCAGGCCTTCCAACTGAGCCGAGGTCTATTTGGTTTCCGGTGGTTTCCAGAACATGATCAAGCCCATAGCGTGTCTTGGAGTCTATACGATTGCAGCCGGATGTCGATGAGCTTGAACATGAGACCCAGATTTCCCCTAAATTACTTGGTGGCTCCCAGGCGTCCGGTTCCTTAGCTTTTAGCTTATTCGCGTTTAGTGGGAGTTTCCATTTAACCCACTAAAAGTTACACTTTTACAGGGGGTCTGAGGGCAGCCCAGTAACATGTACAAAATGTGTTGATTGCATTGTCAAGTCAACGGCTTGAACAACGGTACGGCACAAGACGGCACCAGGTTCATGTGCAGGATAGCAAAGTACAGTTCAACACTCCACACTCATCAATCCATGTTTGCTGGTGAAATACCGCAGGATCATGTATGCAGGAAACTGCAACTATAGGTTCTGCCATTGAGGTATTGGGCTGAAAAAAATACCCCGCGCGTTTTCGTTATGTAAGGGGCCGTCCCTTAACTTGTTTCGCAGGCCAAAACCATTGTAAACCGATACAGAGGAAGAAAAACCGATATTCTTAGAAGCCATGGAGACACATCAGGTCCAAGTTGTCGTCGCAAGCCAAGATCGCGGAATCATAAATTTGCAGGGCCCAAACCGATACCCAAACCGATACCCAACCGATACCCAACTCAGTGGCCGCCACGCCGAATCCAACCAGCTGCCCTGCAGCCTTCCCTGGAGCTGCCAAAATGCACTTTGTGTACCACATCTGTACTTACTTGCACTGAAAAGCTGCGATTTTCGAGCCGGAGCTGCCAAAGTCTACTGCGCATACTACTGAAAAGTTGCGACTTTCCAGCTGGAGCTGCCAAAATGTACTTTGCGTGCTACACTTGTACTGAAAAGTTGCGACTTTCCAGCTGGAGCTGGGAGCTGGCAGAGTGTACTTCGCATACTACACTTGTACGGAAAAGTCACGACTTTCGAGCTAGAGCTGCCAAAACACTGCAAACCGATGCAGAGGAAAGAAACCGATACTGACCGATACTAGGGCATAAGGATACAAGGGTTGTCCACGGGGTTGTTTTTTCAACCCGTATGAGTTGATAAGAACTTGGCACTAGAGGATCTCTTGTATTTCATCAACCGGGGGCCGTTCTAAATTGGCAAGGACATTTTGTTTTTGAAGGGTCTACCGCGAAAGGAATCCGATATTGCGAAAGGCCGGTAATTCAAATGCGACAGGGATGGAAGACAAGGATTTTGCCGGACATGCCGCAGATTGAACTTTTTGCATCCAGTTTTGTCGCCGGGAAAGAAAACGCTAGGGCCGCGCTAGGCTGCCTTTTCAGGCCGGCGATTGGGTCAATTCCTGGCACCTTGATTTTGAACAACAACCAATGATCCAGAGTTGCCGACAGAGACCAATGGAATTGGATGCCAAATTTGCCTAAGGACCCAGTTGCAAGGCTTCTCAAATGGCATGGCACGCAAGCTTTTTGAAGCAAATGCTGCAGCGCCTCTCTTCGACTGGTGCAAACGGGCTCGTTCTCCCTCCTTCAGCTGGTTGTTAGACTCAAACATGCCATGGGTTCGAGCCAATTTGATTGAGCCAGTCAAGATATATCAATTGGCAAAGCCGCGATGACGCATGCACCGCCTCATCTTTTGCAGAGGCGTTTCATGATTCATTCTGAAGAGCGCATATGATGTCGCATATATATATATAACTACATGTATTTGCCTATACACGCCTGCGAAAAGTGCCGTGTCCTTTGTGTAACTCGTTTGGGAGGTGACCAAAGGTTTCACCACCGGAATAGCTCTTGCAGTCCTGGAGCCGCACTGGGCGAATCGATTCATCAAGTCTTTATGGGTGGCTCGTCTCTTTTTTTGGTTGGACACCCCCCAGGTTCTTCTTTTTGCTTCCCTTTAAAGTCAAAGACAGGGGCACCACTGCACACCCATATGCACCTTCGTTTTTTGTCAGAAACAACCATCTTCGCCTCTTTGCTTGCCGGGGTTTCCCACTCCAAACGTGATCGACAAACTTGATGGTTCGCAGCCATCCGGTCCCTTAGCTTTTCAGCCTGTTAGTGTTTAGTGGTTGGATTTCCATTTAACCCGCTAAACTTTCATTTGCCTAAGATCCATTTTTCCTTATTTTTTTCACCTGTTGGTTTTAAAGGCAATCTATCACTAGTGGACATAGCTTCTTTTTTTAAATCCAGGGGACTTAAACAAATGCAAGAAAAGGTTAAACGTTTAGCAGGGGATCTGAGGGCCCAGCAAAGAGGATTGACTCGACACGTCACGTCAAGGCTAGAGCTTCACATCCCGCAGAAGATGATCTACGCGCCGCTGAGCTTTGAGGTTTCTGCAAGTTGCAGCTGAAAATTGAAGAGCAAGGGCAAACCGCGGGGTTTTGTTTCCATTTGAGGTGCCACAGCCTATCGAAAAGCCATGTGGATGGACAATATTCTGTTGGATTTCAATGGTATTCTTACTACACCCGAGGATTACGCACGGGGAGTCACCCAGGCAGCAAGCACCCTAGCCTGTGTTTGATAAAACCTGGTTATTTTGGTTGTAATCCTGGGGTGTAATAGCAATAGCCTTAGAGTATTGCTGTGACTGGGCGAAATTCTGCAGTTGGGATTGGTACCATTTTTCCGACGGAAGTGGAAGTTGGGATTGGCTTGCCTGTCAAAGTTCAGAATGACCCTGTATTTCCCACCAACCTGCCTTGATTCAGTCACTTCATCAGCCCCACAGTGACCAACGCGTTGCTTGCAAATGTGTGTGTGTGTGGGGCTTTCCGGGTACTTGGGTGGCCTGAGTTTCGTGGGTCATCCCTCCACCTTCGGCGGGGGGTTCCCCCTGTACGGATTGCGAGCTCGTCTCGAGCCCTTTGGAAATGGCTGGATGCAGCTTGCTTCAGGACCAATTTGGTTTGTCCTCTTGGAACTGTGCCAAACGCCGCAGGGGGGGTAACTTGGTCAGGTTTATGTTTGCAATTTTGAATCGACACGGTCAATGTTCACCTCGGTTTAAATTATGATAGCATAGAGGCCTTGAGGTGCGACAATTGACCGCCCCGGACGTGGTCTTTCACTGGATTCTAGGGGACGGGGTGCGAACATCGGTTGCGGTGACCCAAGAGGGCATGTTTGTTATCTTGGTGATGTAAGCTTGCTTAGGGTAGGGCTTCCCAACGCGCCCATTCTCATGCCCAGGACTCTTTCCTGGACAAAGTCTTGTTTCGTTTGGGGCTGAGAGACTTGAATCCATGTGGGCACGGGTCAAATTTGTCAACAACCAAGGGACCGCAGATTCTAGTCTTTGCTTCCATTGCCAGGCTTCAATGTTGGGTACTTATTCTTGCCCCACACCCATATTTCAAGGGATTTGGGGCTTGAGTAGCGGCGGAGCCTGATGCTTTTGCTCTCTCCGATCGTTTCAGATACATGTGGCTGTTTCTCTTGTCATTGCTGGGGTTTCTCTTCAACCCCCTCCTCTCCCCCGCCATTTTCCAGTCACTTCCAGGGTTTCTCTTGAACCCCCCCCCTTCCCCCCCCCCCCCCCATCATTTTGCGGTCATGTCGAGGGTTTCTCTTCAACCCCCCCCACCAATCTCCGGCCTTTGCATGTTCGAACAACAGGTTGCAACCCAACTGAAGCAAAGGGCACCAAACCCCTTGAAGTTCCCCGCATCCTTCGACTTAGCGTTGGGATCGACATATCCTTGAGCTCCAACATCCCCTTTGGGTGGTGTGAAGCATCACCTGGTTCGGGCCACGTTAAGTGGTGATTTTGTCTGCGGCTTCGGGCACCCTGCAGCCCATTTGAACTGGTTCAACCTTCAGCAAGGCATCACCGGATCATTTTGGGCACACCATGGATAAGTGCGCCTGAGTGCAAAGGCCTGAGATATCGCGATATCCTTGAGTCTTAAAGTGGCATTTGTGCTGGAACCGGTCCTCAAAGGTGGCACGTAATGTACCCCGGAAATTGAGGAGTTGCCTTGAACATATTTGAACAAGTCAAAGTTATGTACACATACTTCCATTTGGTTTGTTTTTTCCCGAAAGCATCGCGAAGGGTTCTTCCGCGCGGAGCTCTCGGACCAACTTGCATAGAGTACAGCCAAGTGCATGGAGCCAAGTGCATAGAGCCGTGCATAGAGCCAAGTGCATAGAGCCAAGTGCATAGAGCCGAGTGCACAGAGTCAAGTGCATGGAGCCGAGTGCATAGAGCCAAGTGCATAGAGCCAAGTGCATAGAGTCAAGTGCATAGAGCCAAGTGCATAGAGCCAAGTGCATAGAGCCAAGTGCATAGAGCCAAGTGCATAGAGCCGAGTGCACAGAGTCAAGTGCATGGAGCAGAGTGCATAGAGCCGTGCATAGAGTCAAGTGCATGGAGCCGAGTGCATAGAGCCAAGTGCATAGAGCCAAGTGCATAGAGTCAAGTGCATAGAGCCAAGTGCATAGAGCCGAGTGCACAGAGTCAAGTGGAGCCGAGTGCATAGAGCCAAGTGCATAGAGCCAAGTGCATAGAGCCAAGTGCATAGAGCCAAGTGCATAGAGCCAAGTGCATAGAGCCAAGTGCATAGAGCCAAGTGTATAGAGCCAAGTGCATAGAGCCGACTGCGCAGAGCCGACATAGAGCCGAGTGCATAGAGCCAAGAGCCAAGTGCATAGAGCCAAGTGCATAGCGCTTCGGCTTTCTAGGGCGCCGGGGCAGGACTTTGATACTTTGATCGTCGATCAGGTTTGCGACCCTCTGCGGGGATCGGCGTGGTCAAAGGGGGATTCTGCGATTTCTGATCTGCCCGCGCGACCCTCTGCGGGGATCGGCGTGGTTGAGGTACAAAAACTTGAGGTTTTTTGCGATTTCTGATCTGCCCGCGCGACCCTCTGCGGGGATCGGCGTGGTCGAGGTGCAAAAACTCGAGTTTTTTTTCGTTTTTGCGACGCGCGGAAGAACCCTCTGCGGGGATCGGCGTGGTTGAGGTACAAAAACTGTTTTGCGATTTCTGTCTGCCCGCGCAACCCTCTGCAGGGATCGGCGTGGTCGAGGTGCAAAAACTCGAGGTTTTTTGCGAGCGCGACCCTCTGCGGGGATTTGCGTGTTGACGCGCTCTCGCTGCGGAGATCGTGCGTGTCGAAGCGCTCTCTTTGTGGCGCCGTGCGATTTTATTACTCGCGAAATGGCTTTTGGAAGTTGTCTCGTGGTTTGCGCGCCTGCTTCTGCAATCGCGCGGTCGCGCGTTCGATTCTTCCCTGGTCCGCGGCAGCTCCGGCTCAAGCAAAGAAGCCGTAGTATGTGTGGTATGTGGAGTGTACTCGTGGCGGCTCCGACCGGAAAATCGCAACCCTGAACCGCAGACGTATAGTGCGCGGAGCACCTCCACAGCTCAGCTCAGGCTGAGCATCTTGCGCACAGATACAAGCGCCAAGCGTCTTGCGGAGAGAAGTTACTTGCACAACGTGCCACTGCACAGAACAGCTTGAAGACAGATGTCGAGCCACTTGTGTGCAGCAGCTTGCAGAGAGCAACTTGCGCGCAGCAGCCTGGAACAATGCAGCGCGCGCAGGCACTGCCATGTTTCCTCTCGTAGGACGATGAGATGGAGCTCTCATGTGACCATACACATTGAGCATCGCCGCGGGCAGACACGCTCGCCGCATCGATGTAAAAAGGTGTCTCCGCGGCTGGAAGAGCGCTTGGTGAAAAAATGCGTTCGGGCCAATCGTCCTCTAGTAATTATTCGTATTTTCCCTTTTCTTTTAAAGTGAATCTGTCACTGGTCACTACTGCAATTGAGTTTGTCATTTTCCCAGGCTTGAGCCTCAGCGGACGGTTTCTGTTTGAACTTCCTTTGGCCCTCGTCTCGAGGGCTGTGAGTCCCGGTCCGAGGAATGAGATCTTGTTCGACGGGGAGGGGAAGTACGCGGGCTTCGACCGCTCAGCGCCCACCTCGGCCAGCGGCGGGAAGCCCAAGGTCTTGAAGCTCATGCGCCCTTGGCGAATAAAACGCGGGGGGGAGCGTGGGGCGTACGGTTTTTGGACGTGTGTTTCACGGTGTTCGGACAGTGTTTCACGGTGTTGGGGCGGTTGTTCACGCAGGTTTGGGACGGTTTTGCACAGGTTTGCGGACGGTTTTGCACAGGTTTGTGGACGGTGTTTCACGGTTTTTGGGCGTTTTTTTGACAGGTTTTGGACGGTTTTTCATGGGCGGAGGCTAACAATTTGACCAGCGAAAGATGGGTGCCCTCAACCAACAGTTTGCTTGAACACCACCTCAAAATGGGTCCCCTCAACAAACAAAGAGACCCATGACGGTTCGCTTGGTGTTTGATTGATCACCGTCCTTTGAACGTCTCTAGGCAATGCGTAAAGCAAGTCCAGGGAGCCGCCAACCGCCCGACCCTGGAAGACGGTGTGCGGAAAGGGAGGGAGAGACACCAGCAGTGCCAGAGAGGCATCCTTGAATGGACGAAGTCTGATTCTTGTGAGCGGTTTTGTTTTTGTCGATCCCAATTTTGATCATCCAACAATATCCAATGTGTAGGAACTTTGTAGTCGCGCCAGCTGCTCAATTTTGCTCAATGAGCGTTTGTGAATGTAAGAAGCTTGGGGTTATCCAGTGGCCGAGATCACGGGTCTTCGAAGAGAAATTGCTGAAATCGCGAAGCTTCTTTGGGGTTCCATCTTTGGGCACCCAGGAAGCGCCAGAAGGGCTACAAGACCATGATCATGATCGGGGACGGTGCTACTGACCTGGATGCTCGCACGAAAGGACCCGCCAGCGCCTTCATTGGCTACGGCACCCAAGCAGCACTAACGGGCCCGGAGTGGTAGCTGGCCGGTTTTTTGAGGGTCGCAACTGCAGGAGATGACCATTTACCCAAATACTGTACCAATGAGCAAATGATCAAAATGGGGCGCCAGCCAGTTGGGCACTTCGAGCCCCAGCAACCCCAACCCCTGGCAAGCCCACACTTCATGGCTGACCACTTTGTTTGCTTGTGCGGCCCTTCTTTTCAGGGGTGGGAATGCATGGTTTGATTTGTTTCTTCCTCCAACCCACCCGCAAAGGTTCACCATTTTGAGGAGCAACACTGCTGGCAGGAAGCGCTTGCTTCAAGGCGTTTTGATGCCTTGACAAAGAAGGTGCCCTTGTGCAGGCTTCCCTAAATTCCCTGTTTCAAGGATGGCTTTCAACATCAGCTGAGCCACAATCAAAGCCGGGTAGATGAAAGTTAGTAAGGGGCAGTCCCAGCCACAAATTGGTGTGGCCGCCTTTTGATCTCCTACATGGATTTGCGCAGACCATTTTAATGCCCATGGGTTTTGATGGTGGCTCTGCCACTTTAAAGTGAGTCCTGTGATACTTTCCGCAGATCAACATGGAACCCAAAACACGGGGTCCGCGGGAGATTTCTCGTGGTTGTTGCCCGGAAGCTCGTCATATAAGCTTTGCATGCTTCGTTCTTGCTGCACATGATGTTTTTGTGTGAGCAGCACACGTTGTGGCAAAATGCAGACTCAAATGGATGGAAGTCGCTTCGGGAAGTGAACGCCAGCGAATCAAATACTGAAGACCTGCACGAGACCTATGACAAGTTCCGACATTCGCTTGAACTTTGAGCAGTACCTTGAACTTACTTGCATGACCTCTCTGATTTGACTTGCTCAGACATCACTGGGGCGAGGTGGCGTGCAAGTGCGGGAGAAGGTCAAGAAGGGCGCTGATTGGTTTATCACCAACTTCCAGGAGGTTTTGGCGTCTTGGTGTCATGCGGTTGGGTCGATTTTTTTGTTTTTCTCCACGAGTCACTCATGTCGTGTTGACACAGTCTTCAAAACAGTATTTGCAGAATGTGGTCGTGTTGACACATCTGAAAGTCGCACTTCGTACCCCAGATTTGGGCCATGTCGATAGAAGCACCCTTATATTTGAGCACTCGGTTTTTTGGGGTCTCGGGTTCTAGGGGGGCTTTAGAGTGGATCTACCAGTAGCGCGATGACCGGTTAAGTAGCAAATGGACTTCCTTTGGCCAATCCACTCAGGAGAATGCAAGCTTGGGGTTCTAATCATTTGATCGTGGGATTTGGCAATGCGCTTATATATATATATATATATTTGCTTTCTGCAAGACAACCCAAAGCAAAGCATTTTGAGTCAACGGGCAGCACTCATGAAGAAGCAGTCAACATGAACTATCGAACCCTCAGGCGAAGTGCAACAGGCCATGGCATTGGTTTGTTGTGAAGCGCCAGGCGGGCAAACGTATTGACCGGATTCAACCCATGCGGTTGTTGCATCTTCGATCTGAGGACGTTTTGCCCAAGGGCACGGACTTGTGAGCCGGAAGTCGAGTCACTCCTATGGCTGATGGCCGCGATCCAAGCAGACAGAGCCTGTCAGCTTGGAAAGCATTTGGAGCACTTACTAGCTCACCTGGGAATCTGGGAGCCAGTTCGTCCATGAAGGTGTTGCGAGGATTCCAATCTTCCGGGTGTGTGATTTATGGACATCTGCGCAGAAATCATTCCCATTCGGACCCACAAAGCTGCGGTTGAATTGTGCTCCTCATTGCTTTGCCACTAAACTTTAACATTTGGCTTATCGAGATGAAGGGGTGGTTCTTTGTGTTTTAGAGTCGTAGCAAGCTTAGCCTGCGTCATTTGAGTACTCCGCTTGTCATATTGACAGTTCTGTTTGCAATGCGCCGGGTAGTTGTTTGGTGGAACGCTCTTGAAAGGCTCGCAATGGTCAGATTAGACGATGGTTGGCTCCAGATGTGATTCCGCCCGTTCCGCTGGAAAGTCCTGGCCGATGCCGCCCATGCCTCCCGTTCCGGGTTAACATTTGAATCTGGCCGTCGGCTCTTGGCCACAGGCGGTCTCGGCATGCGCCGAAAGACTTTTACATGGGCTGAGATGTCGCCAGCAACCCTAAGAGCAATGATTTAGTGACCATTATGTACAAGCATGTTGTAGATTCCTACCGAAAAATGCTGCAGGTCATGCTCATGACTGGCATCTGGGGCTTGAACATGCGCATGGAAGCGCAAAGAGCCGACGGATACATTAGAAGCTAGAAATATGCATCGTAGGTTTCTGATTTGCTTTTGGCGGTGTTTCGGAACGTTCTTGCGAGCACCGATGAAACAAGAGCCGCGATGATCAGGGTTGCTGCGAGTTGGTGGGAAAGTGTCAACACGAGCTGAAAGCCTTCTTTGTTTTATTCGTCTCATTGCAAAGCACGATCCTTGGTTTTTCACATCACAAACAGCAGGATGCTTACCCCTTGCCAATATGCCTCTGAATTTGAAGGGAATCCTTTTGGTGGACACAATCACAGCCCACACCCACATGCCTGCAAGACGTCAAATCCCTATACTCTTTCGAGATACAATCACCCCTGCTTGCTAGCAGTTCGCAAAGGGTTCCCAAGCGCCACAACCGGCCAGCCACATCATGGTGTTTGGGATTAGGTAAATCTTGGCGTTGCCTTCAATGTGTGTCGCGTCAATTGGTTGTTCCTTTTGGCTTTCATTCAACAAAGACAGCCATCATTCCTCGAGCGTATGGTTTGACACTCCTTGCGATTTGCCTTGCAGCCACACATTTGCTGCGCCATACCAGCAATGTTCTCTCCTTCCGAAGATAGGCTGTGCTGTCCATGGCGCGTACGCAGTTTGATTCGGCACAACTCCAAACGTAAAGTTCCGAAGTAGCCATCCCTGACATGCCCGCTTGTTTTCCAAAATCCCTCGCACAAGAGCGACACAGCACACACACACACACACATGTATAACAATAACTATAATGATAACAATAGTAATAATAGTCATAATGGTACCAATAATGATAATGATTAATCCTAATTATAGAAATCGTAATCGTAATAATAATAGTAATCATAGTAATAGGAGTAATAAGACTATATATATATATACATACGTACGTATACATGCATACATATATATATATATATACACATACGTATACATGCATATATATATATATATGTGCGTATGTTTATACAGTTGCTTCATGTTATCGAGTTCGCTCAGCAGGATTTCCGTGGATAACCAGAGTCCCTTGCTGTGAAATCCTCTAGGCACGGACGGGTCTGAGATGTGGGTCTGTCTGGAGGGACCCCAATGGCTTCGTTTTTCCTGTTGGTTTCCCTTTAAAGCAAGCCCAACAAAGGGTACCAACTCCAAAAAATGATATGTGGCGCAACCTGGATGCCTTTGTCCCAAGTTTCGCTTGCTTGAGCGATCTTTCCATCAACCACAATCTTCCATTTGCTTAGGAATTCCTTTTTTCCCTGTGTGGTTTTCAAGGGGATCGATCGCAATTGGAAGTAGGTTAATTCTTTCCAGAGGCCAGAGGGATCAAGGAAATTGAGGCAATTGTTTTGTTTGCATTCTCCCCAGTTGCGACAATCCTGTTCGTCCAGTTTTAGGCAGGTGTGTTGCTTGCTGTATCGGACACCACCGGCTCAGTTGCTCGACACCTTCAAGCCGGCAGCCCAAACTCGAGCTTTGCGCGGGCTTGAGAAGGTCAGGGCACGAATGGGTTCTCAAAATAGGGGACGCCCCGACAAATTTGCAGTTTGCTTTGGTTTTCCTGAACAATGAACACAAGGTACCTTCAGACAAAGGACACACCCTTCAATGAGTTGCGTGCTGTGTCGAAACCTTCTGGGTTCAGAGCCATGCTTGAGATTCGGCTTTTCCGGGGGGCGCATAACTTCTGCACATTGATCAAATGATTCGAGGACCCTCGAAGCACGGGAAGGATCCCACAGGTATAGTGTCCAAACTGGACAGCCAATCGCGTGGCTGGCTGCAATCTGCCCTAGCTTCGGAACTCCTATGCTAGTGAATAGAACCCACATATGGCGGAAGCTTTGTTCAACATTTAAGGTATACGCAGGGGGGTTATTCGTACACGCTTGAGCGGATCCACACCAATAGGCAGACTTGCGAAGCCCCCAATGAGCGCCTGGCCAGCTTGGCGTTGGAGCCACTCTCTCTGTGTCTGAGGGAGTCTTGAAGTCACTCGACTTAATATGTCGTACAGATGGCCAATCCCTGAACTGAATTGATGCGAACGTTGGAAGCCATGTTTGACATGCCAAACCCAGATATATCCAGCATGCTGGATTGTGAAGGGGTGTTCGCCCACAAAGGAAGATATTCACCAACTGGCGGGCTCAATCCTGGGTCCCCATTCAGCCCTTCGAATTTTCAGAATACCGAGGCCTGGTCAACGACTACAGCTGGTCGTTGGGGTCTCAGAAAGAAGGGAGAAGCCAGTTCGAACAGGTGAGATTCCTCTTGGAGTGATGTTTACGGGGCAATGTAAGGAGGCCTAAGACACCCAGTGCTGCCCTTCTTCTCCATGAGGGGTGTGGCTTTCACATGTACAAGTACCAAGTTAAGTCAGCCATCAGGGCGCCTTTTTCTTCCATGGCCACTGACTGGGGCTCTGGGATAGAGAGATATGGCTATGGGTCAAAACCCCGTCCAGTGACCCACGGCCATATTAAGCTGCTTCTAATACAAACAAAGACCGTTCCTGAATCCCATCCAGAGTCTACCGGCACCTGACAGAGGGTCTGACCAACGTTGATCTTCCAGCTACCCTCCGTCAAAATGCTAGTGGGCGGGGGAATGGCTCCGCTTCGAAAACCGCAAGCGCGCCGTTTGGCAAGTGAGAAACCAATTTTGAGTTGAACGCTGCCCCATGTCCTTTTCACGGGTGGCACAGATGTGAAGGATTTGGACACCACTCCGGTGTCTGATTCTTCACGGGAAAGTTGTTTCCCGACCAGGTGCCCAGAAACAGGGCTCCCTACATTTCAGACACCATTGGGTTGCCAATGAAAAGGGAGTTTCCTCGGGCGATTTTAGGGGGCATTCGCAACCCTGTAGAAACGAGGTGCCCAAAACAAGACCTGAACTCACTTGTCCAAAACCGACCTTTTGCTTTGTTTTTCAATTTTGCTCCATGATTTAGTCACGGGACACATCGCTGTGTCTCAAAATCGGCGACCTCCCAAAATGGGTGCTTTGCCCTCGCTTCTCCTTTGAACCGACAAGGGCACAGGATTCGATGTGTCGTTCAAGCTTCTACAGTGCTTTCTCATGTTGTCATTCCAACATGGGGTTGTCTCAAAATATGGGAACCTGGTTTCCCTTCAACACAGACACACACACACTATAAAAGGTAGCCTCAGAAGACACATCCAAATACCGTCAGCCTCCAAGCAGACACACCCTCAGTCAAACTCCCCCGCAGCTTGCAGGCCCTGCGCCCCCGGGGCTTCGGGGAATATAGCTGCTCTCGTGCTGTGAGCCGCCCCGAGGCCGCGACAGGAAATTTAGAGAATCGGATCACGGAAAGGAAGAGCGAGCCCTCCGTTTCTGGCGTCCTTTTGGGGGAAAATTTGTGTTTCTTTTGGTCGTTGTAGCTGTTTTTAAGAGATCTTTGTAGCTTCTGGGGTATCTTATCTTCTTTGGTAGTTGTTTGTTGAAAGGGTACGGGGAATCCCTTTAGGTTTCCCTGTGCCAAACTTGTACCAAACCTGGCATTTTTAACAGCATTCTAGGGTAGACTAAATATGCGGAATCAGAACATGAGTACTCCGTGTGCCGATATGGGTGTTTGCTGGGATTCTAAGGTGTTCATGGGAAACCAGCTTCAAACCACCCGTAAATAGGGGTTACCCTATTTGGACACATGCCCGCATGGCTTGGTTTCCCCCTTCCCCTTCAATACCAGTCTTGGCTATAGCCCAGGAAGAGTTAGATGCTCTGAGGGCCTTGAGGTTTGAGTCTTGAAGTGATATTGCCATTGAGACAAAGCTGCAAAGTACCGGATGGGGTTTTGGCATCTCAAGTGAGTGATTACCACAAGGTGTGTCTCTGTACAGTGTTTGTGTTTTTTTTGGTGTGTGTGTGTGTGTGTTTGTTTGTGTGTTTGTTTGTTTGTGTGTTTGTTTGTTTGTTTGTTTGTTTGTTTGTTTGTTTGTTTGTTTGCTTGCTTGCTTGTTTGTTTGTTTGTTTGCTTTTGGTTGGATTGTTTGTTTGTTCGTTCGTTTGGTTGCTTGCTTGCGTTGCTTGCGTTGCTTGCGTTGCTTGCTTGATTGTTTGTTTGTTTGTTTGTCTGTCTGTCTGTCTCTTTGTTTGCTTGTTTTGCTTGTTTGTTTGTTTGTTTGTTGGCGTGCCTTGTGTCTTTGTGTGTCTGTGTGTGTGTGTGTGTGTTTGTGTTTGTGTTTGTCTGGGTGGTATCCGTGTTGGCCTGTCTGTGTGAGTGTGTTTTATTTGTATGACGTGTTGGGAAAC